AGAGTTGTTTTGGAGTGCTTGGCTGTAGGAGAGTTTGGTGTTAGTATTTCCAGATCCTGAGCTATTCGAGTATAGGTTATATGAGTATTCTTCTAGTTCATTTTCATCTATGTATGTGTCGTGTGTTTTGCAAGATGCAAGAGATGCTGATCGACTAGCTTGTGTTTTTAGAGGTATGGGCGGTGTTAGTGTATTATATGTGACTTCCTCTATCTGGTCTGCTCATGATTGGTTTTGGTGATCTGTTGTACTATAGTCTTCTGATGCTGTTTGTGTATAGGGGTTTGTGTTTTGAGTATTAGAGTTGTTAGTTGTTTCGAGGTTGTGTTCAGTTGTTGAATGAGTAGTATTCTGTTATATATTATTAGTATCCATTGATATTGTATCACTAATTTCTGGTGAGAGTACACAAGTATTGGGCGTAGTTGTTATTAGAGTAGTGTTGAGAAGGGTAGCAGCATCATAGAAATCATAAAAAGTGCGGAATTTTGTTTATGAGCGTTCATCGCTAGGTAGTTAGTTTTGTTATTCTGATAGGTTTGAATGAGTGATAAAGATTGGATGATGTTAGTTGTAATTTGTATAGCAGTGATATTTATAGCGTTGTTAGAGAGTTTTGTTAGAGTAAAGAGGAGAGCGGAGTCACTGTTGGTAGCATAGTCAATTTAGTACTTTGGATGGAGGGTTATGTTATTTATAATGGCTGTTTTTGTGCAGTCTATGATGTAGAGCTATTGCTAGTCATAAGAAGTAGGAATGATAAAGGTCACTTTATAAGTTAGTTCATTTGCATTGATGATAGTTAAGTCAAGGATTTCTTTAGGGTGTTCAAGTTGTATCAGGATAGATTCTGAAGTTGACGTGTTTGTTGACATCATCACGTCTTTGTTGTTGTCATTGAGTGTGTTGTTATTTTTGAGAGGAGTGATATTGATGTTGTTTTTGAAGAGGCAGTGCCTCTTTTCAGTTTTTTCTGTGTCTTTCGGCATGATGGAGTTGCTGTTTGAAGTAATAGTTGTTAGTTTGTTTGTTGGTAGCAGTTTTCTTTTACTTAGAATCCTTCTCAGAAGAAGGTTTTCTTTATTTTTGTTGTTTTTTTTTTTTTCTATTTTGGCGCAGTATGGTGAAGTAAGTTACAGGAAAGAGTTGTATACTCATATATAATCTTTTTTTATATATTATTATAATATTATTAATAACTCAGTTTGTTAATCAGGCAGACAGATTTTTTAATTCATTATACAAATTATCTAATGCAAAAATTCATTAGTTAATTATGTAGCATAAAAGATAGATGATACGTAGCTAAAAAGTATAGTATAGTAGCTAACAAAAATAATACCTGATGATCAATTTTATAATAAAAAATATAAAAAATCAAAATTTATATAATATGTAAAAGTAAATATTTTTTTTATTAAATAATTTTTTTTTAATATAATTAGTAAATTCAATATTTATATTCTATAATATATAAGTTTCATCATACTAGACAAATTGAATTGATTTTTTTTTAAATTATAAAGTTTACAATTCAAAATTTTATAAGTAAAACATATAAAATTTGTAAATTTGACTTTAAAATTAAATATAAAATTTTAAAATTTTTTTTAAAAAAATTTAACTATAATTATTAATAGCATTACTACTATATTTTAAGAAAATGTAAAATATAAAATTATTTTTATAAAAAAAATAAAAGTTTTAATATAACATAAAATTTACAATTTTCAAAGTTTTAATAATAAATATTTTTTAATTTTATATGATTAAAAAATTTAATATTTATATTTTATAATGTATAATTTTCACTAGGCTTACAAAAAAATTGAGTTTTTTTTTTCTAATGACAAAATTTCCTAAAAAGGATTTTATATATATATTTTATTATAAAATTGATCATCGGGCGTTAGGCTACTGTACCTTTAGATTTGTGTTAGCCAACATTGAAATGTCTTTTTCAGATTATAACGCATTACTCCAGTTATTCCTCAACGTTCTACTGTTCCCTAGAAGTAAGCTGCTTCGGAGGCAACTCCTGCACTTGAACTGTACTTTAATCCGCGAATTATTTATTTATGGTTAAAAATCTCAAGTCATTGTACATTTATCACAAGCACTAAAGAAAAATTAAATTCTGATTTCTTTTCAACAACATCGTGAGCTTATGAAGTAAAGTTAACAGTTAATTAGGCTTTTATACTTTTTAATCTATATAATTTCTTAAACACTAATTTATTTTAGTTCAAACTCGAAAAGCACACAAAACACAGCGAATTTGTTAATGGAGAAATTTCTTTCATATCAAGTTATGTTACCAAATACAACTTTAGCTATGAACTAATTCAAGCTATTTTAAGTATCTTAAACTTTACACGATCCTTAATTTATGATTTCAATAATTATTCACAAAAACTTTATATTTTACAGGGTAAATTAATTTTTGGACCGTTTCAAATTATTTGGGATACAATTGCAGTATACAACTAATTTTTTTTTTTTATTGCCATATTTTTTAGTCAAATAAATCAATAAGGCTATGTTCAAATCTTAAATATATTAAAGGATCAAATAAAATATTAAAAAATTTTTCGAGAATTTGAAATTATATTGTGATATCGGATACGAGAATTCTTCGTTTTTTTACTTGTTATCGATATTTTGCAACACATCTGAGAATAATCACGGTAGAATTAACGACAAGAACGAGAGCTTTTTGATGAAATGTCGTTTGATACTAATCCTTTAAGACCAGAATTTGCACCTCGAACTCCAAATTGTTATTTAAATTTGTCAAACGATGCATGGATATTGATAGGGTACTCGTGCATCAACCAGCAGGTCATTAAGCTGTATTGTAGGTGGATTCAAAAGTTAATTCCAAATTAAAATTTTAAAATAACTTTGGTGGGAATTGAGCAATGACAAATACGTACAATACGCTAAAAAATATCCAGGTTATTAAATTTGGAAACTTTTTCGAAATAAAGGGATGGGTTGATTATTTTTGTTGAGAATATTTACGAATCACAATATAATTAGCAAATTACGATTATTTAATACCTCATTGAAAGTTATTCATAACTTATATTAATTTACACAAAATTTCGTCACCACGTAAGATTCCTACATCTACTGATATTCCGAATTCACCTATAACACCCAGTGGAAACCTGATAACTCGCGGGTGACCCGAATAACCTTGATAATTTGAAAATTTTCTCGACGGGCCCAATCTCTATGGCAGAGTAAGGATTAGACCCGGATAAAAAATTGCTGTATATTGTTACCCGAAATAAATAGTGAATTACCCAGCTAATTTAAAGATTTTCTCAATGGGTCTAATGATTAGACCCATTGAGAAAATCTTTAAATTAGCTGGGTAATTCACTATTTTATTTCGGGTAGAGATGTGATCCGGATATCCGCCAGTTTAATTTTATAATAAAATTATTATTATAAAGAATCCGGATATCCGGATATCCGTTAAATTTTAAATAGCTAATAGGAAAACGGATAACGGATCGCACATTTAATTTTCGATTCTACTAATTCAGAGTACTAAAAAATAACAATTCTTTTTGCCAATCTTGAAAATCTCATATGGAGTTTAAACGCGTATACATGTTTAAAAGCTAACTTTATGGTTAGGGTTATTATTATAATATATTATATTCAACATTAAAAAGGTTAAATAATCTAATAAATCATTTTATAATCTAAATAATATTTCATTAAATTAACTAATAATTTCATCACAATAAAACTTAAATTTGAGTAATTTTATGAATTAAATATTTATAAAGATGGTGAAATGACGAAAAATAAACATACAAACAAATAAATAAAGTAAATAAAAATACTAAATATCCACCGTATATAAGTAGGCCTCTTAAATGAAAATAAATAAATAAATAAAAATTGAAAAGCTACTTATTTTGATTCACATTAATTGTTCATAATTTAATTAGTAATGGCTGTATATTTATTACTTATACTATCACCATTTAAAGATACTCAATTATTATCAGTTATTATTTCACCGAGTTTACCCTCTTTTCGTTTATTAATTTCATTTATTTCATTTTCAACTCTTGATCTGAAATGTCGCTGCTGTTTTAATTTATCAAGTTCATTTTCTGTCGGCTCTTCCTTTTTAGTTTCCGAACGCACAGTTTTTTTAAGTTTTGGCCATGTTGGTGGAAGAGGAAGTGGTGGTGGACGTGCTGATGGTAACAGGGGTGAAGGCATTCGTAACGACGGTGATGGTATTCTTAATGGTCTCGATTTTATGTTATCTGAAGGTGTATTTAAAGGAACGTATGGGGATGTTGGAGATAAAGTAGGGCTTCGAGGTATATTTAACGATAATTGTGAAGATGATAAAATAAGTGATGGTGTTGGTGTTCTTGCTTTAGAATGAATGCTTGTAGAATAAAAGTTTGTAGATAAATATGAATTATTTGATGATGTTGGCGGTGATGTTGATGTTATTGAAACTGCGGATGAAGATGGAGACATTGGCGGCGAATCTCGTGGTGTAAATGAAGGTCGATATTGTGAAGATGGAGTCGGCGATTGAGTTCGTTTATTTTGATTTAATTCCTCACACACATCTTTTTTATCCAAACTTCCTTGAGATGTTGCCTGCCTTAGTTCCTCAAATAATGATTTTGATAATAGTGGTGTTGATGACCTTGAATCTTGCATTGATGGAGCAAATTGTGGTGTAGTAGGTGTAGATGGCAAAGGCGTTGATGGTGAAATATAAGTCGATGTGGTCATAGGTGGTATCAAGAATGGGTTAATCGGTTCAAATTCAAGTTCTGATTGGGGACTGAGATTAGGTATTGATTGTTCTGGCATTCCATAAATAGGCTCTGGTGGAAACATATGCAAAGGATTTGTAGACTCTTCCGTTGAATTTAAAGGAAGAGCTGGAAAATATGGTGTTGAAGGTGTGGGAGGAATCGATTGAGCAATATGTGGAGGTGAATAAGATATTGGGACTGATTCTGAAGGAATATTTTGTTTTAATGAATTATCAGAAGTGGAGTCTGACATTGGTGATGATGGAGGCGGATGTGGTTGAGGTATTGAAGACAATGATGATGCTAATGATGATAATGGTGTTTCAGTAGCAGAAGTAGTTGTTCCAGAATTAGAGTTTGATAACGTATTCGATGTATTATTTGACGAATTATTTGATGAATTATTTATTGAATTGTTTTCTGAATGACATGATAATGAATTATTTGGTAATATTTTTTCCGAAACGGCAGAAGATTCGGAACGTTTAGTATTCTCATCACTATTAACATGAGTAATAGCATCTATCATAGCGTCAAGTACTGCATCATCTGAGTTAGGAGAGTTAAACTCAGTAACATCATCCATAATACTATTTTCATTATCTTCAGTTACAATATTATTTTCAGTAACTGTGTTATTCTCAGTAACTGTGCTATTATCTTCTATAGCTGTGTTATTATCAAAAGCGGTGGTTTTCACATTAATTTTTGCAATTTTTGCATTGGTGCTAATAGTCTTTTCTGTTGTATTTTTATCATCCGCTTCTTCCAAATTTACATATTGAATTGAGTTAACATCAGATTTAGTATTTTCCTTGTCAACTGAAGGTAAATCATTAGCTTCAAACATATCATGGTTATTAGCATCATCATTTGTAATTTCTTCGTTATCAAAAGGAATATTTTCAGTGCTAACAATTCCTGTATCATCCTCCAATAAGTTATCTATTTCAATATTAATTGCATTAATTTCTGAAACTAAAACATCATCATCAATAGATTCAATTTCATTATCTTGTTCAGTTTGAGATTCAATTTCATTATCTTGTTCAGTTTGAGATTCAATTCCATAATCTTGTTCAGTTTGAGATTCAATTTCATTATCTTGTTCAGTTTGAGATTCAATTTCATTATCCTGTTCAGTTTGAGATTCAATTTCACTATCCCGTTCAGTTTGAGATATAATTTCATTATTCCGTTCAGTTTGAGGTTCAATTTCATCATCTTCAGATAGATATTTAGATGTAATACCTTCAGACTCTGAAATTTGACTTGGTTCTTCACTAATAAATTTAATATTACTATCCATATCAATTGATTTGATTATCATATCATCAAGATTTTTAGAATAATTAGCATCCTGACCCATTTCAGACTTTGTATTTCCTTGATCATGTAAAGATTTGATAAGTAATGAAATAGGCTCAGATGTAAGTATGGGTTGTATAATTGGTGGTTGAATGTTGATGGTTATTTCTTCTACTTTACTTTCGGAATTTGTAACCCTATCAAAAAGTTTATTCATTTGTTGACTGACAGTTGTTGGTAAGTCAGAGTCACTATTATTTTGGCTACGTCTACCTAATCTAAGAGTTCTCATTATTCCAGATTTCTTTTTTGGTTGTTGTGTCACTTTGTTAGGATTATTTTGTTGATTATCAACGACCGAAGACACGGATGATATTGATGATCGATTTCTCGAATGGGAGGTGGGTGATGATGATAAATATGATGCTAAAATAGGAGGAATCGGTTTGTGCGCCGCTGCTTTCTGAGCTTTGGATGTTATCTTGATATTTTGTTTCTTTTGTTTATTACTAGAATGCTTACTTTTTATAGAATCATTATTAATTTCGGATATTGGTATATTAACACCTAAGAGACGAATATTATTCCATGCACGATCAGGAGCATGATACATGGTATCTCGAAGAGTTTCAATTTGAGATGCAGTATCAGATCCTTTTCTTTTTATTATATCACCTGCTTTATTAGAACTATGAATTGAGGTAGAACGATTTGAGAGTACAGATTTTCTAGAAATACTCTTTGTCATTGATCTACCAAAATTATAAGATTTCATCGTTCTTTGACGATCCCATTCAATAGCAGTCATTGTCCAAGATGCAGAATTCCATTGTTGTCTCAAAGTGCCAATTTCATCACGGATTATATCAAGAGATTGTTTTAATTTACGTGTTTCCTCAGGAACTTTATGAAATTCTTCTGGATCAAAAAGGATATCTTCAATATTTTGCTCATTGACATCTGAGAAATGTTCAATAGTTTGCAATTGCTTAACTAATTCATGAGCAAAATAAGTACGACTGGCTTGTAATATTTGCATAGCTCGACGAGAACAAGCGTATAAAGAAGTATTAAAGGTTGCATGTTGTAACGCATCATATAATGAAAATGGATATAACGTGCATAATCGCGAAGCGTAATGCGTGTTAATTTGATGTATTTGACGCATAGGTTTAACAATTAATATTATACGAATAAAAGGTCTAATAGAATTAGTATTACCGAAAGGATGAGAAGCTGATAATGGCATTGTTTCTTCGCAAACAGAAGTTGCAGCTCCTGTTGAAGTAGATGTTTTAACATTTGATCCAGCTTCCTCTTCTTCAGAATCTGGGTTACTTTTATCAAATGCTATTAATTTTTTATCTTTTTCCATGAATTCATTATGACTACCATCCGCTCTGTCACTATTATTATCAATACTAGCACTAATACTATCACAATCATCATTATCCTCATTATTTTCATTTTGTTCATGAAATTCTTCATTATCTTGTTGAATACGAAGTGAACTAAATGATAAATTAGATTTCATCTCTTCCTGTTGTGAAATAATTGATTCAAATGTTCTATGAGATCCATCAGATGTTCCTCGTGATGGATGTGATTTAAAAAAATGTTTTTTATCATCACGTTGTAATAAAAGTTCAGATTGTTGTTTACTACCACGTTTATTAAAATTTATATTTTTAACACCAAGTTTATCATATACATCAGTATGAAGTGAAGTTCCACATTGATCAATAGCATTATCATCAAGTTCACTTGTCATAGTATATAATTGATTTGTTCTTAAATCTAAATAAATATCTACGGTTTGTTCACAATATATATCATTTACTTCCCATGTAAGATTGGTATCATTTTGTAATTTATGATAAGTATTTATAAAAGAATTTTGAAATTGACCTAAAATTGATTTATCATAATCTCCTTTAGTTGCCGTAACTAAATCCATAAAACAATTTTGACTAAGACAAGTTAAAGATTTAATCCAACTTGTTTCTTCAGTAGTTATCATTGCTTCATCACGAATTTTCCCTAAAGGAATAAATTGTTTTCGATCTTTTGGTACTAAAATTTTAATACCTTGTAATGTACTTTCAGTGTATAAAACACCTAAATAAAGACCAGGAGATAATTTAGTTTGTCTAGAACACCATTTTTCAATAAAATTTGTCCAAATTGGATGATGATCTTTATGATAAATATTATTTAATTCATCAAAATTTTTCCACTTTAAAGCACCAGTTTTAATAAGATCAGGAGCGATTTCATCTTTAATACAATTTGGAATGTATTGAAGGGCGACTATGAATTTTGACTTTGATGAATACATTTTTACAACATGTTCATATATAGTGCCCAATGATTCGAGAGATAATTCGCACTTTAATTTTAGAGCAGCATTACCAAAAGAACGTGACCATAAAGTTTCATCATTAATGTATTGATTAAATGGTATTTTAGAAGAAACTTCAGATAAATCATTCATACTTGAATTTGAATGTAAAGAATTAAAAGAATCCGAGTCACTACTAGATGAGTCATTATATAGTTCTTTAGAAGTTGACCAATCTAATGAAGTTCTTATTACATGAGCAAATTCTTCACTATCATTCTCAAAATTAGAGAAAATTTTATCATCACGTATAACTTCAATAGTAGGAAACATTTTACTACTACCAGAAGTTATTAATATCTTATTATCACTAGTGAATAATATTGTGGTCAAGTAAATTGTTTCTGCTTGAATGCGTGTCTTCAATGATGTTTTAACGCTTTTAGAACCACCGAAGACTCCCTTTCGTTTCGTTTGTGTTGCTGAATTCGGACTTAATGTTGTTGTTGGTAAGTGACGCTAATTTTATTAATAATAATTTTTTAAAAGATAAATTATTTATCAGCGTCAAATTACAGATATTAATATATATATAAAAAAGATAATGAAACAAAAGAATAATTAAAACCTTTTTCGGATTTTCTTCATTATATACAAGTTCAAGGTATTCAGGTGTCTTTTTACGAACTATCAAAGTATCCTAAAAAGTAGAAAATAATAGAAAAATATATATATATATATATATATAAATAGAAAGTAATGGAAAATAATATAAAGTAACGAGATTAAATGATAAGAAATGGAAAGAAAATAAAGATATACACACACCTCTTCGGGATAAGATGATAGCAAATGTGTATCAACTAGCCATGTCTTGAAAAGTTCGCTATATAATGCGTAATTCCAAGAATCATATATACACAAAGTTTTGCAAGCCTAAATTCAATAAAATTATAATCACATGATTAATACGTCATTGGTGATTGAATGATTATATTAAAATAAAACGAAGCCTACTCTTTCAAGCACAGCTTGAACAGAAGTTCCTTGAGAATATTCAACGTCTATAGGTGTATCACGACCCTCCAGACGTACTTGTATAAGACAGTTACTATAAAGTAGACGAATACATAAGTACATAGAATGCATGTATACAATTCAAGTATGCAATCAGAAAAAACTTACCATTCCATTATTTTTTGATCACCTAGGACAGCTTTCAAAGCAGAAAAAGTACTAAAATTATATTAAAGTAAGCCTAATAAAAAAAAAATACGCATTCCAACTTGAGATGGAAGTATTTATATAAAAAAAATATATATATATTTTAAGAGAGTGTCTTGAAGTATTAAATACTACGTATAATAAAGTAAAAGATAGGAAGTGAAATAAAAGGGAGTAAAGGTTCAAAAAGCGAGGGAGAGTAAAAAGATATTTACCAACAACGGCGAGATATTCAGGGCAGTAACGGTGTGTTTATAGTACAACTTGACGGATAAATTTTTTTAAAAAGAGTATGGTCTAAAGAGTGACCAATCCGTTTATTTAAATTATTTATATTAAATCGTTTGCAAAACATAAACAAATAAGATTTACACTTACATTCCTAAAACTTGTGACGAAAAAATCATTTAGCAAGTATTTTTAATATCGATACACCATTGTAATATACGAAAAATGCAAGATGTTCAACTTACATATAGGCCCTGAGTTACTTATTGCATACCTACGGTACGTACTTAAAATTCAAATTTTCTATATTAGATATGTTATGTTTCATTGTTATCTGTTAATAGTAAAATGATGTTATGTGACATTCTTAATCACGTGGTGTAAGTTAGTAAATCAAAAAACGTTGATTTGATTGGCCAAAAAATAATTACATCACTAGAAATTAATTAATGTAACAGCATGGGCATCATGAACATGGACCGGCATATAACGAAATGTAACATAAAATAATAATTTAATGTTAAATAATTTTAATTGTTTCATGTCAGTATTTCAGCATAAAGATTTATTTTATTACTTTGTGAAAAGTTTCACAATATCGGGTTGAATCAAAAAAGAAAATTGCATATCGCATCAAACATTGTCCGGAGTGATCAATTTTTACATAACAGATATAGTGATTATAAATTTATTAACAAAGTAATTTTGTTATTATGATTGTATGTGTTAAGGATAAGTTTCATTTTTTTTAGCAAATCTGTATCATATCTGATATTATTTATAGTAATAAAATATTATTTTTGTTTCAAATAAAATCTTTTTTTTTATTTTTTGCTAGCGCAAAACAAGCTTAACAAAAAAAAACAAATAAAAAAAAATAATAAAGCAGTAAACGATAATAAATAACTACGTATAAGCTTAATCACTCTTCATCATTCGTATTTCGTATATTAGTGTACGACTGATAATGCCAAATGACATTTTCCCTCACTATCTTATCATTCTTATCATTCTTATCTCGAGGGACACCGTCTTCGTTTAAATGTCAATACCAATGTTTTTGTAACATATCTTTGTGTATTTGTTAAAATTACTAAATTAACAATTTTCTGTCTCTCTTATCGCCTCTGAAGTTGCCCACATATTCTTAATTATACATTAATAATATTAATAATACTACATAAAAATGTTCTAAAATATGAACTAACCAATTCTTAAATGCACGTACTGCAATCTTAAATTAAAATGTCTGATCCATTACATTTACTTGCTCATTTATTTACTAATAGAATGTCGATCAAAAATGAAAAAGAAATACTGTATAACGTAAAAAAAAAAAAAAAAATAAATGAAATCTATAACTTAACGTTATATTATTTTTCAAACCGTTATAATTGTTTGGTTGTATATTACTTTTGGTGGACATTTTTTAATATTTTCTTGTTCTAATAACAACGCCTTTTCCGTTTGAGACAAAGGTCGCTTGGCACCGAATGCTAATGCTTGTTCTTCGGCGACACGCTCTGCTACTTCTTGTCTCGCACGAATTGCATAAAATTCATTACATGCATGGGCATATGCTTCACTTTTTGACATTCCGGTAGACATTAGATAAATCTGATATTTTATCACACTATTAAATAAAATAATAAATAGTAAAAAATCAGAAGAATTAAAGTTTATTCAATTAAAATTCTTTAATCTATTTTACCTTTCTCCATCAATTTGAGTAGGATGTTTAGTACCCAATAAAGTGTTCCAATCTTCCCTTATAGGTTCTTCTTTTTCTATTAAGCTTTGAGGTCTTAATAGTTCATAAGGATGATCTCTATAAAATCGTCGTCGTAAAGAATCTTCTTCATATACAATCCTCTGAGGTCGTGCTACTTTTGTTCGAAAATGTTTAAAAGCAGGTGATTTTTTTACTCTTTCATTCTGGGTTTGTGGTAAAGAAGATTCCCGAAATTGAAGTGGGGAACGAAGAACACTTGAACCAGGAGGAACAACTTTCATAACTGGGTACCAAACTGGTGGTGACTTATAAATGCCACCTGCCAAAAGTCTTGATACATGGTTATGAAGTTTCGTGGGTGATCCACGATACATGTGTAAAGATGAAATTAGAAAATATTTAAAATTTTTATCGTTATCTTCACAAATCAGATCTAATTGACGAACCTCTCACACTGAGTCAGGTGATGAGATGAGCCACATAACGATAAGCATAGATACCAAAGCGGGGAACCTTAAAATTAACACTGCGATTTGATTGGCACAAAAATCATAAGCTGCCCACTTTTTTGTGCTATGACTAATCTACGTTTCTTTAAGACCAAGTAAAGGTGGTCGACTTTATTTATCTAGTTATTTTATTTTAATCTAAACATGAATTCTACTCCCGTTTCAATGGAAGACCAGCAAAAAAAACTTTTAGAGGAAGCTTTGAACGTGGTTAAAATTCAGGCATTTCAAATGAAAAAATGCTTGGTAAGTTAGATTATAAAAGTTAAAATTAGATTGCATATAACGTATGCTTTTTTTTTAACCTATTTTTCGATTATAGGACAACAGCAAACTTATGGATGGTTTGAAACATTGTTCTACGATGCTGGCAGAGTTGAGGACTTCCGCACTGACACCAAAGAATTATTATGAACTTTGTATCTTTTTCTTTTTCAAAAAAAAAAAAAAAAAGGAAAAAATAATCAAGATTATTTAAGATCTTGGTAATAGTATTGAATCTTTTTTTATTATTATTATATTTATTTACTTGAATTCCTGAGCTGCTTTTATTTGTAAAGATATGGCAATTTTTGATGCTCTCCGATACCTCACAACATACCTTAATGACGCACATACTTCGGGAAAGCATCACCTTGCAGACCTTTATGAATTAGTGCAATACGCTGGAAATATTATTCCACGTTTATATCTTATGATTACTGTTGGCAGTGCTTACATGTCACAAAAAGACGCTCCAGTTAGAGAGATTATGAAAGATATGATGGAAATGTCTCGTGGCGTGCAGCACCCAACACGTGGTTTATTTTTGAG